GCCTTTCTGGAGTTGAAGTATTTGTTGTTATAGTTAAATTTAGATTCCCTGATGATAGAGGCTGGGACTGTATCTTTTGTCATTTGAAAATGTCATTTGCGTTGGTTTAGTACTTTTTATTACAGAAGTGAGAACTATGGGGTTTTGTTTAGGCATGAACTAGGATGCTTCTGAGTACTGCTGGTTTCACCTAGTTTTAACCAGGAGAAATGTGTTAACTTCTTGCTGAGCCATGCCCCTTCACCTTCAGGTCTCCTGTTTAAAATTGGCATTTTTGAGGGAAAGTGTATGTTCACCTCAAGTATTATTCTGGATTGTCCAACAGTTCATACTCTCATTCATCTCTTGCAAAAAGTATTTAAGAATTAATTTTGACTAATGCAAATTAAACCTTTTTCCTGTTGGAGCATTACTGTATCATTGAACAGCTTACAAGAGTTCTACTCAGCAAGTTCAACCTTCACCTTTCTGTTTCTGCATTCTTTAGTACAGAGGTATTTTGCTTTCTAAACTTGATACTTAGTAACAGAATGATCCAGCCTGTCTCTTCTGGACACAAAGTTTAGTGATTCTGGTTTTAGTGCTGCTGCATGTACCATAATATAATAATACAAAGAAATCTGGTCAACAATGTCTTGTTTAGAGTTTGTCTACAGATAACCACATTACTACTTAGGGACAAACTGATCTCAAATAATACTTTTATTTTCTGTATCAGAATCCACAGAACTGAGAATTTCTTTACATTTCTTACAAGAAGCTCAGTTCTTCAGTGTTTGTATTTCTATACTGTACTTGAGATGCTTCACAACAGTTTTTCTTTGGTATGCTAAATAAAGTACACTGCCAGAAAGAATTTATATGCTGTCCTGAAATGTTAAGTTTCATCTGTCTGTTTAAAGACTTTTCCTAATAAAGTAATTTATCTGTCAAAAAAACCTGGTGATAAATACCCTGAAATAATCACTTGCAATACTGAAATTTATACATGAATTACAACAGTGAGTTGTCTAATTGTAGCATTTTAGCTATATTAAACTTTTGATATTTTAATGGCTGTAGCTTTCTTCTGTGAAGAGCAGAGTGACTTTTAAAATAATCTTGGTGCCTGAAAAATGACATTACATAGTTACCACAGGATAATTGATTACAAATGCATTTTCAAAACTTGTGAAATGGGTAGTGAAATTTCTTTGACTGTTTGCCATGATAGTTAAGTGCTTGCTTTATCTTGCTATCTAAGTTTTGATAGTGGTAATCCATGGAGACTGCCTATATTTATTTTCAAGTAAATACAGGCAAACAGTCTAATTTGCTACAAATGCAAGAAGTCTCATCTTTTCCCTTAATCTTCGCTGATTTGATGCAACATGTTATTTTTTTTTTTCCTTGGTCATGTTTAGGTGGCCTCATTCTTCTTTATTGGCCTGATGTCTATGATGATTCCACTGTGCCACGTCTTTGGAGGTCTCATTGCTGTCTGTCTCTTCATGGGCCTGTTTGATGGGTGCTTCATTTGCATTATGGCTCCTATTGCGTTTGAGCTGGTTGGGGCTCAGGATGTCTCTCAGGCCATAGGATTTCTACTGGGACTCATGTCCATACCTATGACAGTTGGTCCACCCATTGCAGGTAAATGTTTTTATGGTTGCATGACCCTTTGGCAATGTTTTCCATTCCTACAGCCTAGGCAGTGCGCTTATACTAGAATTTTTCTAGGCACGTGCTCCAGAATATATGGTGAATTTAACTGCTGCTCATGGGTTATTGATTTACTGTGCTTTTTAAACTTTGCTTCAGTCTTTTTTTATTGTTACACAGACATAAAACATTCCTCAAAGACAAAATTTGAAGACAGGTTTCCAGTTGGATTGAGGACTTGACATCCTCTATGCTGTTGAGGTGACAGCATGTATGTTGATTGTGCTATAGAAGGACTCTGAAAATGAACTGGACTAAAACTTGCTCATGCAAAAAACAATTGAGAATAAAAGCTTCAGTCGCTTTGTGGCTTCTTATAAGTAGGAACGCTGTCTCTTTTTTCAATTCTTTGATGGGAGACTGTTTGACAAAGTACAGGCTTTGAAGTTGAAATCTGGAAGTTCTTTGGGAAGTAGGAACAGCTAAGCTATGATTCTTAAGACTAATGATTTTCAAGCATAATTTACCCTAAAGTCTTTTGTGTGCTACTGAAAGGTATTTAGTAAGATGCAACTGAACTATACAGCATTATAGAGAACAAAATTCAGCACTTCCCGATGTGGATACACTAACACAGCTATTAGTACTTAATTAGAATATAATTAATAGGAGGAGTTTTGAAAGAGCAATTACAGTGAATTGCTGGAAAACAGTTTTTAGTAAGAGGCTACTAGGAATGCAATATATACAATATATATAGAATAAGATTAAGAGGCGCCTTGATCAAAGACAACTGTTAACAGAAGAGGGAAAATTTTTCCAAGTCATTGCAAGATTCAGGTGCTGGAGAAGGTGATGTGAGCAACTTTGTGATAGAAAATATGGTCCATGTTTTTAATGAGTGGTAATTAAGCAGTCAAGAGTTTTTTGTTACTTGGAGTCTTTAAAGCAGGTCTGGAATAACTTTCTACCTATATATGCACCTACATTTGATCATCAGGCAGTCAGGTAGTAGTGGTTATAATAATATGTGTCAACTTTCAAGTTTGTGAATCCAGAGAAAAGGCATTTTTTTTTACAGATTCCTGAGGCCCCATTATTGACCAGGGACAACTTTCTGCCTCTCCAGGTTTGCTGCGCGATCAGCTCGGCACCTATGACGTAGCGTTCTACCTGGCTGGAGTCCCCCCCTTGATTGGGGGAGCTATTTTGTGTTTCATCCCCTGGGTGCATGAACGGCATAAGTTGAAAGAGAGAGCAAAACCCGTTGATGGAGAAACTACTGAGAAAATGCTGGAAAATGAAAACACTTTGGTGTCGGACACTACAGAAAAGCCAGTCAAAGAAATGGAATCTGGGTTTTGATGCTTGCTTCTCCTGTGCCAGCCCGACCTCCTTCTACTGAAGCTAGATTTGTACTTGTTGGCTGAAGATACTAAATGATACTGAAGAAGTGTTGAACTATTGCTCAGATTGCAAAACTGCTACAAGAGTCTTTTATACCATTGAACTACTTTTGATGAGTCATTGAGTTTGCTTTCAAGCCACATTTACAAGGTATTAGAAGTTTTGTAGCATTAGCGTGTACGTGCATAATGGTTCTATGTGTTAAGAGAATATTTTTCTAGTTCATCAAAACCTATTTCTGGAAGCGTGAAAGCTATTTTTGGTTCACTGACCCAGGATTCCTCAATTACTTTTTTATGGCCCATCCAAGGCAGCCATGCCTGTGGGTTTTTATACTAGAAAATGTTGTAGCTCTTACGACTGATTTGGTTTCTGAAGTTTCTCATACTGTTCTACAGTATTTTACGATTCTGTCATGAACATGAATATGGATCTTTTTGTTTCCCTTAACTCTTGCTGAAATAATTTGCATTAGAAAGCTAAATTATTAAACATATGTTTTATTTTCTCTAAATACCCCATCCTGCTCAGTGTGCTCAAACACTCTCCTCCTCACAGTAGCCCAAACAGAGACCATTAAGAATGACATTTTTGACAGGCATGGATTTTGACTGTGTGCAAACTAAGCTCTGAGTGCAAACACATTCAGAAGTAAAGCTACTGAATGATAGGAAGTTTTTATTTGGTAAATGTGATACTATTAATGTATGTGTGTATATTTTTTTTTCAGCTAAACCTCAGAATAGCTGATAGTTTAGAAATTGTACTGACAGTAATACTTTGGATCAGTATTGTGAATTAGACTAAATTTCAAATTATTCTGTTGTTCCTATGAGGTTCTTTTTTTATTCTTAAAAACCAAGACAGCTTTAAAGGATACAGTGTAAGTGCAATAAGTTGTTTTTTATGTGGAAATATATGAGCTATTAAAATGACATTCAGCAATTAAAGATTTTTGCACTAAGTGAACATGCAGGTTTATTATAGGTCTTTATAGCTCTATTCAGTTGCGTGTAGGGTATAGCTCCATATGTTATTCAAATAGAACATGCAAAGACATTTCTTTATTTCTTGCTTAAGATACTAAACAAGGCCCTAATACTTATGTATTCTTTGGTATTATGCACTGTTTGTCAAGCAGGTATTTATGAAAACCTCTTTATCTGAAAAATATTTGAAAGTGTATTACTTTGAGATGAAAACACTGCTTTTCAGTTTATGATAAAACACTTCCAAGTGCATTGTTTATTTGTGGATATGGCTCAGCAATGTAGTGTAATGCTTAATCATTCTTTATTTCAGGTCCATTCAATACCAATAATTCCTGTTTTCTTGTTTAGAAGTGTCATAGCAAAGAGTAAACTAAATGTTATCTGATGACAAAGTGCACATTTAAGTGCATTTTCTTAATTAGTAACAATATCTGTTCTTTACATAAGCCACAGAGGCGTACTGTTTTAAAATTATGACCTTTATTGTCTTTTCTATTTTTATTTTCCTTTCTCCAGAGTTGTAGTAAATTGCTCCGAAAGCCCATGTATGTTTGTGATATAAAACATTACGTTAGCAATACTATTGCATAGAATGTTTACATTTATCACCTTACAGAAGTCCTTTAAATAATCATGCAAAGCATCCTAATTATTTGAGACCAAAGCTCATACCTTTTTTGTATTGCAGTATTTCAATTCCTGCTTCATATGAGGAAGGTTTAAAAGAATTGAATCTTAAAATGTTAGAGGTGTATGGGAGGGACTTGGAGGTGGGGAGGGGAAAAAAAACCAAACAAACCCAACCCATCTGTAAAACAGAGGTCCCTTTGGGTTCACTGGGATTTGTGCTTTGGTACCTCAAAAGTACTTCTAAAAATGTTATTAAAATATTCATGGTGGTCTTAATTAAAATTACTACAAAATGCTGCCTTCCTGATGAAAATTAACAGCCTGTGCTATGCTTGTCTGGAGTATTTCTGTAGAACATGTTATTCAGTATTATATTCTGTTTGGGTGATGCAAAAGGAGTTGAGTAAGTGTGGTAAAGCCCTCCCGATTCCTTCTGCTTTGTTATGGAAGATTAGTATTCCTCACAGGTCTTAAATTTCACATGTTTTAGCGTTGAGTTTTGAACTGAAAACCAGGCTGCTTTTTAGCATTGATGCGACTTGAAATCATTGTGTCCAGGTACCTTGGTGTAATTGTGGCATCTTCCTGACTTGCTGCTGTATATATAAATTATTTGGGAGAGAATGTAAAATAATTGTTGCTAAGTTTTAGAAATGATGCAGAAATAGTATAACAATAGTATGGGTAAATTACTGCCATCTCCTTAAAAAAAAGTACCTGTATATAAAAAAAAAAAATCCAAACTCCCATATTTGAGTAACTAAAAATGTAAATTATGCTCACAAATATGAAGGACAGCATTTAAACAACTCACAAACCCAGAGGCGCCAGAAGAGGGTATGGTGGGTGAGTAATGGTTTAGGAGTGATTGCTATGTTAAAACCAGCTAGTGAAGGGGATGTCAAGACAAGAGGGAAGCAGAGTTAAGGAGTAAGGAAGCTATCCTGGTACGATGATGTTGGAATAACAAACATGTTTCTGATGCCAGTGCTTGTTTTACAACAATGCTAAAATTCGAAAGGCTTCAGACAAATTCAACTTTTCAGGAAGGGTAAAAAAAGTAAATTAATGCAAGAGAAGTCTGTCAGCATCATTACTGTTAGCTTGTATCTATGGGGGAAATATCCAATAGAAAATGCTCTTTATTTGGCATCAGAAGATTGTGTCCTAAAGCTAGTTAAGATGCTGTCAAAATAAAAGTAAAGTTCGGACTGTTAGTGTTGACACTAACAATTGAGAACCTTGTTTAGAGATATACTGCATTCTGTATGCTCTGAGGTTTTAAAAATGAGGTTACCTGTCTCCCTTTAAACAAACAAAAAAACCCACAAAAACCCCAACTCAAATAGCAAGTGTTTAACACATTTATGAGAAAATGTTTGCATTATCTAGAAATGGCTGCTGTTCTGAACACCAGGAGAGAAAAACACCTAATATTAAATTTAACTCTGTAATTGTAATAAAATTTAAAGTGTGAAAACCTGTTCACAGGAAACCTG